TTACCTAGGGAGGCGGTGGAGTCTCCTTCCTTGGAGGTTTTTAAGGCCCGGCTTGACAAAGCCCTGGCTGGTATGATTTAGCTGGGAATTGGTCCTGCTTTGAGCAGGGGGTTGGACTAGATGACCTCTTGAGGTCCCTTCCAACTCTGATATTCTATGATTCTATGATTCTATGATCACTCGGGAGTGATGAGCCCTTTATGTGCAAGGGGTGGCCAGGCCAGTGAGTGCCCGGTCAGTGCTGGGTGCAGGGATGTGGCAATGAGCGATTGCTCCAACATGTGGTTGACACCAGGCCAGTGAAAAGAACTCCAACTTATCTGGGTATACGTTTCCCCCGGTGCCTAGGGCTGCTAGTCATTCACCAGCTTCTCTTCCTTTGCAGTGAGAGGAACTACCATGCAGCCCTGTGCCAGTGCCGTCCTCAGCCGGCTCCTCTCCTGCTTCCTCCAAGATGACAGAACACTATCTCCACCCTCACTGTGCCCAGTGGAGCTGTGTGGGATGAGTGGGGAGCTCAGAAATTGGACTCCAGAGACTTGGATTCTCTCTGATGGTAACATTACCCCCTCTTCTCTCCGCCATTTCCCCACAGTGCAAATCACCCAGTCTCACACTGAGGATGTTGCTTGATGCCAGGGTGCATCTAGGTTTTTGACTCCTTTCTTCCTGAGCCCTCCAGCCAACCCTCAGTGCATGGTCCCTTTCGTTTACTACCAGAGGGGAAGCAGGTTGCCCCAGAACTGGGGCTGATAAGAGCCAATGACAAAAAGAATTGTCTACATCGCTGAGTGCAAGGGACTTCTCTTTGTGCATGGAGCAGAAAGTCTATTGAAGCAGAAAGGCTCGGGGCCTGCAGTAGCTGAATAATGGGGAGAGATTCTAGGTGTCAACAACAAAAGAGAAATGGCGGTTAGGTTGGGATGCATTAGCTAACCGCACCTTAAAGGTGACCTTTTTACCAATGTAGGTGCAGGGTACCAGTTTCTCAGTTAACTTTTCAGGGGGTTCTCCAAGCTCCCCACAGTCTCCACCTTGGCTAGTTAAACCAAGATTGAGCACTTATACTGCATTGCCACTAGGGAAATGTTCACTGTGAAGGTTAGCTATCACACCCCAGCCTGATCTCCAGCACTTTTCTTGTGTAGACAGGCCTGGAAAAGCTACATGTGTCTGGCTCTGGTAAGCAGTGACCAAGTGGAGAGCATGTGAGCACTGTCTGTAAAGATCTGAAGGGGGTTAGGATCTGGGGGTTGAGGGGAGAAGTTTAGGGGTAAAACTAGGAGGAAGGGAATGAAATGAAGGAAGGCTATTACACTTGAAGCTCAGTCTGTTTATTAGGGATCTCTTAGCCTGTGGAGTCTTTCCCTAAGGGAAAAGCTGGAAGCCCCTTCCCACAGGACATTTAAATCTGGCTTGGAAATCTTCCCCTCTCTGGTTCTAGTGGTTCTATATGTTACTTCCCCCACTGGAAATCCAATGAGGGGGCAGGTGTAGAGGGGAGCAGGGCAGCCTCTTCTTTTAACAACTGGGATCCAGAGTCCAGTCTGTAAGGCCAAGGCAGCAATAGGGTGGGAAACATTCAGGCTGCTATTTGGATTAGATGATTAGCCAGCTCCTTGTTTGCCTGGGCAGTGGCATGGTACATGTGGAAGAAGCCTCCTTTGGGGCAATTTCCTTCCTTTTTTAAAACATTCAGTTAATTTTGATTTAATAAAGGGAAGTGTGGAAAAGTGTCATTTCCCCTCCCCCAAGTCCAGAATATGGGTTATTGAGCTAGAGAGGTTTTTCCAACCCCCTTCCTCTTCCAATCCCTTCCTGACTCACTGTCTCTTTGATGCCCGTCTCCCAGGTGGAGCCCTTCCAAGGCAGTGGGGCACAGCACAACAACACAGCTCTGAATGGCATTTGCCTGCACTGTGCTGACAGCATCATTGTTGAGTCCTTTGTGGGGCTTTAAATAGCTCTTTGGTTCTTCTCCCTTTGAAACATCCCAGGTTTTTCTTCTCTGGTTTCTGCCATATCCCAGCACCAGCCAAATGTCTCTCGTGGTCTCCTCCCCTTAGCTCTATGAGGCTGAGCTGGAGTTTCTTCTGCTGCTGTCAGAGACCAGGATGTGGGTGGTCATGCTTAGTGGTTGGAGCAGGTAGCCCGGAACAGGCTCTGACCCTGAGCTCCTGAGTCCAAGGCCAGCTGGTGGAGCCAGAAGTCAGGAATTGGATCCAAGGGTCAGGCTGGGTTCCCTGGGGTGAGGCAAGGCAGGATCTAGGCAGATCTAGAAAAATTCAGCTTGAGGCAGTCACCCAGCATGGAAAATTTCAGGGCAAATTGTTACAGTTTGACAAAGTTATAAGCAACTGAAAAGAGAGTCTTAGAAGAACTGTTGGGCAATTTTAATTCTAGGTGGCGCCAGCAGCCCAGTCTATAATAATAAATGGGCCCCTTCTTCCAGGTGTTGTCAGCAGTAACAAAGTTTGGGTTCAGATATCTTAAGGGGTTTCTCTTTAAATTAACAAACACCAACAGCTTGAGCCCCCACCCAGAAACCAGGGAAAAATGAACATAAGAACATAAGAATGGCCATACTGGGTTCCCCTGGGTTCCCTTAGCAGGCAATACTTCCCCTCTCGCAAGCACTGAATCTGCCTATATAACAAGGATGACTTTATTTGGGTGCAAGGGGACACAGTATCAACTTGGGGAAACACACCAACTATACATATAAATGAATAAACTAGCCACCCTATGGTATCTTTGGCAGAAGTCTGTTAACTCAGTTCCCCACCCTCCAGGTGAATGTCCAATAAGCAACTACCTTTTTCACACATCACTTCCTTCCCGCCACTAAACCCCACTTATGGTTGGGGTCAATGAGGAGCATAGTCCCAGAGTCCAGGACAGCACTTGGCCAACTTGCATCCCACCCCCAGGGGAAGTGCTGCCTGGTCTGGTCCTGAGGCTCCACCACAAAACCCATCTATGGTGATTTCAACCAGTGTTCACTCAACTCTGCTGCTGTCTACTGCTGCCTCTCACCACAAAGTTGCTTCTGAATAATCTCTTGTTGTAGAGTAGCCTCTGACATCTCTTTGCAAGTTCTTCCATGAAGGGGGATTAATGATCTGTAGATGACCCGCACCTCCCCAGCATATTCCTTGACATAAGCAAGGTGCACCCCTTCTCCTCCCTGCACCTCAGTCCCACTCCCACACCAATTTGGAATTCGTGTATTGTTCTGGTGACTCCCCAAAGTGTCACTTGGAGGATTCATGGGAAGAAAACGTATGCAAATGAAGTCCCGGTAGCTGTACTTTCCCTGTTCAACAACCAATGGTGGCAGAGAACTCCTTACCCTGTAAAGCAGGAGTAATTAATAGGCAGCCCTAGGGCCAAATCCAGACTGCCAGATGCATTTGAATGGACCACAAAATCTTTTTTTTTACTTATTATTATAATTATTTTTACTATTTTTGTATTTTCTCTAGAATCTGGACCTTGACTATACCTTGACCAAGAAATTTGGTGGAACTTGACAAAAAATAATTGATTACCCCTGCTGTAGAGCTTCTGTCTCTCTGGAGTTCTGGGTAAACAGCTTTGAAGCATCTCTTGGCCACTCTTTCTCCTGTTCACCAACAGATGATAGCAGCAAGCTCCCTGCCTTCTGGGAGTTTCAATCACAGGACTGACACATGCAACTGTTAACAATGACCCCAGCTCTTGAAGCCTTTCTGTGTTGGCCCTTCTCTCCCCAGAAGCTGACTTGTTTGTTCTTTAAGAAGCTTTTCTGTAGAAATTGGATTTGTCCTAACGAGGTGGGCTTGTCCCACAGATTTAAATAGAAAGGGCTAAGAATTGAGTTGGCACCTCAGAAGAAACAGTCTAACTGGCCTTGTTTTCTCTCAGGAGACAGAGCCTGCAGATGGCCTTTGCTTCCTCATAAAGGTAAGTAGCCAAGGGTAAGTGTCTTAGCTTTATCCTATGGGTGTGCCACATCCTGACTGAACGGTGACCACCTCCCGCACCAGCCCATGGGGCAGAGTCTGGGGTAGGCAAGACAGCATCCAGTAGGTGAAGAGCATGGAACAATGGTTTGTAAAACAGATGTGTTTGCTCATCCAGGACCACATGGTTCCAGCCTGGAATGGATAAAATTACCATTTGGTTGGTGGGTGCCCAGACTTATGGACAGGGAGATGGAGTAGGGAGGGTGGGGGGAAATCTCACCACTCAGTGCCAGGGAGCTGCAGGGAGCAGAAATGAGACCCTGAGATAAAGCTATGAAAGAAAAAAAAATCTCTCTCTCTCTCCCCCTGGCAATCCCAGGATCCTCTGTTCAACACAGCCGCAAGGTCCTCTCCCCCGCTTCTCTTTCCCCCTGAACCTTCAGCGGCTTCCCTAAAATCCATAGCCTGCCCTCAGGACACACAGTCCCACTTTTGCCCACTTCCGGGCTCTGGGCAGCAGTTTCCTTCAGCCCCTGACAGTCTCACTGTGGAATAATGAGCCCATTGTGTGTGAGTGGGGTTGGGTCAGTGCCTAGGCACAGGGACGTGGCAACAAGTGATTACTCCCAGATGGGTTTGGCACTGTGCCAGCAAGGAAACCCAGCCTAGCTTTCCTGGGTATAAATCTCCCTGGTGCTTAGGGGTGTTAGTCACTCACAAGCTTCTCCCTGGGTAGCTCCAGAGCTGATACTGTACCATGCAGCCCCTCATCCATGTAGGGCTCTACCTGCTCCTCTCCTGCTGCTTCCAAGATGCAGGGGCACAAAGGTACATCTACAGCATCGATGTACCCAATGGAGGCCCGTGGGGTGAATGGGGGAAAAAGGATATTTGCCCCCGTGGCTACGCCTATGGATTTGCATTGAAGGTAAATTTCTTCCCAGCTCCCTGCCACTTCCTCACTCCCCCCACCCCACCCCATCCCATCCCATCCCATCCCATCCCATCACTAGGCTCTCAGCAAGAACTTCTCTTGACTCTAGGCTGTTCCAGGGTTTTTCAAAATCCTCTCTTCCTCAGACTCTGGTCAGCCATCAGCATACAGGGCCACTGAGTTTATTAAAGGATGTGGGGCAGGGAATGTCAGTGACCCCAGAGCTGGGGCAGAAAGGAGATGAGAACACAATTGTCTGCACAGCTGGGTTAATGGGGCTTTGCTTTGGGCTCAGCCAGAGACATCTGTCAAAGCAGACAGGGTCAGGGGTTGTAGGAGCAGAGTTAGGAGGCGATACTAAAAGAGCTAAATCTGTCTGGCTCGGGTGAGCCGCGAGTAAGAGGTGGGGATGTGACCACTGTCTGTAAGTATCTGAAAGGTGTTAACATGAAAGGGGGTGGGGGAAAAGTAGGAGGAAGGGAATAAAATGAGTGAAGAAAGTTTTGCTTGAAACTCATTCTGAGGGCAGGCCTCCACTAGAAAGTTTTGCCAGCAGAGCTATGCCTGTTAAGGGTATGATTTATTTCATTTTTTGAAAATATTTTTATGCTGGCAAAAGTCCTAGTAGATGTGACAAAAGTGCTGTTGCCAGGACAGTATATTTTGCTCACCAAACTGGAATAAGTTATACCAGCAAAAGTATTTTTTTGCTACTACATTTACGGCTACACAAGGAGGACATTGCGAGTAAGGATAGAACAGCAAAACTATTCTAGTGTAGACTAGGCCTCAGGTTTTCCTGCCAGAGAAGGAACTGTTAGTCTGTGGAGTAAGGGAATGAGTGGGAGTCCCATCACCACTGCATTTAAATCCAGCCTGGATATCTCGCCTCTCTAACTGCTGTGAATCTGTGTGTTGCTGCAAGAGTGAAAATCCGGTGTGGGGGGTTGTGGGGTAGGGGCAGCCTGCTCACCCTTCCCAGCTGGGATCCAGGGTCTCTTCCTGACAGAGTGGATGTTGAAGATATGGAAAACATAAAGGGGAAAATACATGGGAACGGTTGTTTAGTTGCCTCCCAGCTTCCCAGGGCAGTAGCTGTAACGTGTGTCAGGAGCCTGCTGGCGCTGATTATTACTGGACATTTTCCTTTCTTTTAAGAAATGCAGTTAATTTAATAACAGGAAGTTGGTAGGGTTTATTAGCTTGGTGGGGAGTGGGGGGGGACTCCCAACCCTTCTCCTACCAATCTGTACCTGTGCCACCATCTCCTGTACCCCTCTCCTAGGTGGAGCCGAACCAAGGCGGTGGGGAAAAACAAGATGACACGGCTTTGAATGGCATTCGCCTGTTCTGCACTGATGGCACCATAATCGAGTCCACGGTGGGCCCGTGAGTAGCTCTTTGGTTTCTCTCCCATCCCTCCTGCTCTGCAAGTGCTGAGAGAATAACCATGAACAATGCCATTTGCACAGGGTCTCTTCTTGGACTATTCCCTCTGTTTGGAGGTAATCTGTAAAGGAAAATTAAAATAGGGCATTGGCTGTTCTGTTTCTGCTTCTTTATGATGGACACAGCTGGCCATTTCATGTTAAAATTCTGATCTTGTGTGCCCTGGAAGTTGCTGTGAAGAATTGGAGAGAACCAGTAAAATGATACCAACCCCAGAGTCCACTGTGAAAGCTGCAGCAATTGGGGGGTGGGAAAAGGAATTTTCGCTACATCCTTTCATATTCTTTGGGGGAAAGCCTGGCCCTACTGGAATGAGAGGGATTTTGCCATTGACATTGTTGTCAGTTCTCAACTCTGTGAGTTGCACCGGCTCTGGCCAGGTAGTTGGTACAGCAGACCTCGATCGAACTGCCCAAGAAGACTCCAAAAGACTCGTTTCAGTGGTGAAGGCACATGGCCAGGTTTACTGTCAACAAAGCAGGGTACTAGTACCCCATAGACTTTACAGGAACACTAATACATGTATGCCCATGACAACAGACTGGTTCAGTAAGTGGCGTGACTTTCCGTTTCCCCCTAGGCCAGACAGACACCCCTTTTGTGACCCCTTCATACACTGATATAAATGAATTACCCTTCTGATGTGGTTAGGAGGGATAGCTCAGTGGTTTGAGCATTGGCCTCCTAATCCCAGCGTTGTGAGTTCAATCTGTGAGGGGGCCACTTAGGGATCTGGGGCAAAATCAGTACTTGGTCCTGCTAGTGAAGGCCGGGGGCTGGACTCGATGATCTTTCAAGGTTCTTTCCAAGTCTAGGAGATAAGATATCTCCATTATTTTATTTATTTATTTACCTCTCGTACCTCCTGGTTCAAACAAAATATTTTCATCCATCATCCCATCCTGTCCTCCCATCCTTTTTTTCTTGGGGTCGGCGTGTTCCTGTTCCATCTCCCACTATTGTGTTTATGCCATACCTTTATGTTGGGGGGTACCTGCATCTTCTAGAATGTGCACACATGAATACCCTGTGCCTAGTACTTCTTGGAAGTACCTGTGTTTTTTGCCAAGTGCATGCATCACACAGCAAGCATCTGCTTTGTAACCGGGCCTGACTTTTGCTCAGAGCCTGACTCTTGATAACCTGGCTTTGTAGGTTCTCTTTACTGTCTAATGGGAACTTGGGAAAAGGATGTGTGGGTATAAGATTCAGCGCAAAGTGTCACAGATCCAGTCAGAAAGAAACTTGACCTGCCTCTGGAGATTTCCATTACTTGCATCTGAAGAAGTGCGGTTCTTACCCATGAAAGCTTATGCTCCCAATACTTCTGTTAGTCTCAAAGGTGCCACAGGACCCTCTGTTGCTTTTTACAGATTCAGACTAACACGGCTACCCCTCTGATACTTGAGATCCAGTCAGGGGGCACCTTCTAGCCACCCTGTGGACAGCTGTGAGGGGAAGCCAAGCCTCTGTGTGCTTGGATCCCCATGTGCTTGGGGCTCAGCAGGCTGCAACACTGGTTCCTCCTGTGGCCTCTCTGGCACATTTCCTGGGCAATGACTGTCTGCTAATCCTTCATGGGAGCGCCGGAAGCTCCCTAAAAGTGGGGGAAATGCCAGTGCCCAAACCGTGGTCCCGTCCCCTCGCTCCACCTCTTTCCCCAGAGGCCTCACCCCCCGCTCGCTCCTCTCCGGCTCCTCCTCCTGTCACTCGCCCTTAAGGCAGGAAAAGTGATGGGGTCATAGCCCCCTGGCACCTCCCTGTTCTAGTGGCTTTGTGCTCCGCCCACCTTCCCTAGGCCCCCAGGACCAGTGCTGACCCCCAAGATACCCCACACACTCAGCCACTTTGCCCAGAGTCTAACACAACTGTGCTTTTACTTAAGCATATTAAATCCAAGAGAGTACAGATCATACAAAGCAATAAGCATCCTAACTGCAATGTCCCTCACTTCCCAGCTCACCCGTCCTTTGGGATGCTGGGGGAGCCATCTGCGTCCAGGAAGGCTGGCAGGCAGGGTATCCCCTGCCTCTTGCAGGGTGTTCATGAGGGAGAAGTCATCCGGCATGTGAGTTCCCTTTCCCAGCTTCTCTGATCTTGCTCTCTTCTGCCAATTGATTCCTCTTCTTGTCTGACTCTTTCCCCATCTTTAAATCCCTCCTGAGTCCTGGTCACCTAGCTGCTTTTTTCGTTCTGTGTTTGGTAACTTTCTACTGCTCAAAAAATCCCCTCCCCTCAGATAGAGGAGGAAGTATTTTTTGCATTGGAATGCAGTTACTCTTTTACATAACTTTTGCATGGTCAAAGCATCATCATTAACATTAAGTGCCTCCCCGTTGTCTTCAGTTTGGAGAATATTTGGTGTGTGTCCTCTCAGCAGTGGTGGATCCACATACAGAGAGACATTTATGATACAGCAGGTTTTCATAGTAGCATTTCTTCATAACTCAGTAATATCAACCAGACCTGATAAGTTCTTCACACATTTTCCTAAATTGTGACTCAAGGCTCATCTCCTGAGTCCCCCAGGGAGTCCTCCAGCAAAACCAGGGAAGACCAGGCTCTGATATTTCTAAGGTTAAATACAAGCAAGAAAAAACACTACTCAAGAAAAAGAAAACAAAATACCCTAGGTCCTTCCAGGCCTGTTTTCAGGTCACTGGTGTGTGTCCTATGAACACTGGGCTTGGTGCACAGTAGCTAGGATGACTGGTGCCCCATGGTGAATAGCATACTGAATAAGTCTCCGGTAATTATTTTCTTCTCTGGCAGGTGGGGCGATTGGAGTGACGTCCAACGGTGCCCCAAGAGCAACCTGATCTCCTTCTCGCTGAGAGTGGAACCATCCCAGGGAAAAGGCGATGACACAGCAGCCAACAATATCCAGTTCACATGCTCAGATGGGACCTGGCTGATGGGCACTGGAAATTCCTGGGGTGATTTTGGCCCATGGAGCAATCGTTGCAGCTCTGGGGGCATTTGTGGGCTCCAGACGAAGGTGGAGGCACCCCAGGGAGGTGGGGATGACACAGCGCTCAATGATGTGAAGTTCTTCTGCTGCAACTAAACAAGCACCTGTCCCTGCCCAACGCCCAACACCAGCACCTGCCCATTAAACACCATTAAAGTTTAGCTCTGCTTTTGAACAGGAAGGTGTCTGTCTTACTGACCCAAATCAGACATGTGATCATGTACCATCTCCACATCTACAAGGGAACGCTGAATTGTGAGGTGAGCCAGGAGGAGAGGAGACAGGGAGGAGCGTGGAAGGGGGAGAGATAATGTCTCTGATAAGGACGGAGAAGGGAGGCATGGCCATATTGGGTAGAAGGGGGTTTTTCAAGATGTTGGGAATCAAGTAATTTTATTCTAAAAATTGTTAAAATTTTTTGTCCAGAGAACCAAGAAATGACTGGGGCCAAATCTTGTGTGTGTGTCTGTGTGTGACTGATTTTTGTAAAGAAGTAGAGAATGAAAGATACAAAAAGATAAATGATTTACAGCTGTGTGTGTTTCCAAATATGGCATGCTTCACAGGATCTCCAATAAAATTATGCAATTACAACTTGTTAAAGTTGCAAGACCAGACACAACAAATCCAGGCAATGCTACATAGACATACATGTTATAGCGTGAGTAATAGTTATACAATAAGAGAAGGCATACATGAATAGAGGGAGGGAGGGAACTGGTGGTGAGTGAAAAAGCAGAGGGGTAAGGTTGAATGGGAGTGTGGCATTATTTGAGCCATCTCAACATTTTTATCCAAATGTATCTAGAAACAGGGTCCAAATTTATTCAACTTCATATAATTGATCTCTGTGGCTGTTGGAGGACTTTCCCTTCACCCCCTCTCCTGGTTCTTGTCATGCAGACAGAAAGCAGAAGTCCGAAGTGCAGGCAATGCGATGCTTATTGGGGTTAGTTCCAAGCAAACATATCCATAGCTCTATGTGCTGGCAGAATCTGTTTCCCAGTGATCCATTCCCAGCTCTGATGCCGCAGAGGCTTGCCTGTGTCCCTGTTCCCCATTTACCCCCCGCTCCCCTTAGCAGCCCCAAATATACCTGCAGTGCATGCCCTCGGTCCCACCCCTTATACCTTATGGTCATGTTCTGTTTTGGAGGGTAGTGAGTCTGGGGTCTTCATCCCACCTCTTTTGTATCCCATGGGAGGGGTAAGGAGTGAGCTTGTGTTCTGGCCAAGGCCAGGCTTTTCTTTGGCTTTTAGTGTTTCTTATGCCTCTTCCCTCCTGCCATCCCCCCATGCCCGTCCTAAGTGGTTGCTTGACCTTAGCTTGAGAAAGAAGCCAGGCAACCTTTCAGTGTATGCTCATATATTACACTCCCACCATACCCTGTAACCCTTTAGTTCTATCCCTTATGGCTTCCCATTATACTAATAAACCCGTCTGGCCAGGTAGAAGCAACACACACAGTGTCTTTGTCCCTTGTTCACATGTTAGTATAAGATTTAAGAGTATCAAAAAGTCAAACCCAGAATTCTATCTCAGGCTGACAAAGAAGCCTATATACTAACAGTAGCGATAACCTATTCTTTCTTTGGCTGCTACTTAGCCATGTCCTAATGCCACTGCTCTGTTCTGGGCATAAGCCTACCCAACCATTTTTGTAAAATGTATGCACTTGATAATTGTTGGCACCAGGGGGCTACTACCCCTGAATGGATCTTTAATGGCTCCCAGTGGAGCAGATTACTATCATACCAGTGGAAAAGGTCCACAGTAATTAACTTGCATATACTGCAGTTTATTTGAGAAGGAATTACACAAGCAGTATAGGGTTACATTAAGCACACAACTCCTATGTTAGACATTAAAGAACTATACATTAAGAGCTATACATTCCTCTTAGCGAGCCTCTCTTTCACAAACATACACAAACAGGCCCTGTGCTAGCCTCACACAGTTCCTGCTTGGCAAACAGAGATTTCTATGGAAGACTTCTTCTCTCCAGGTCTGGTCTCCTCAGCCGTCTGGTCTGTCTCGGATTCCCTCAAGGCAAGGCATTGGCTGCCTGGAAACCCCTCTGGTTCACAGTCCTACTAATTTTTACTTAATAATTTAGGAGGAGTCTGCAGAGTGGTGCCAACTGAACATTACCCCACATTCACTCCCTTATCAATCATTCACTTCAACCCCCTGTGTGATGTCCTTCAACAGCGTCGAGATGTCCTGGTCAGCCCATGCTCCACTCAGGAGGTTCTACATGTGTTGTCTGCTTTCAAGTGGACATATTTGCTGACTCAAAGTTCAGTATTGATCATACACGCAGCATGGAGCCATTCAGTTTCACCTCTGCCATCTGCCTGATGCTAAGAGAAGGATTTTGCTCCCAGAATCCTCTTTCGCAGTTCAGTCATGTCAAGCCATGCTCTCACCATTCATTCAGTATGGCCACACCAATTCCGCACCACCCCAAAAATAATCATCATAGCCTTTAAGAACCAAAGCTTTTCTGGCGTAGTTACACTAACTTAGCAGGTAAATATCTTTGAATGCAATTTTCAGCTGAGGTTTGACTGCTGAAGCAAAGCATTTTCTATCCCCCTCTTTCCACAGCTTCCTGATACTGGACAGTCCCACAGCATATGCATCAAGGTTCCTTTTTCTTTGTTACAGGGCCAACTAACATCAGAGAATAAGGCCTTTATCTTGGGCAATCTCTGTGGTGTCCAATATATTTTGAATAAAATTTTTTGTTGTATTAAATGGAGCCTGAAATCCAGAGAAGCATTTTTAACATTACGTAATATGCTTTGGCACAGGGTTTTTTTCAAGGGTTGTGACCAATCCCCTTCAGCACTTTCACAAAGAACTCCAGACTCAGGGAGTTCCTCTTTATTAGGGGCCCAATCTTGATAATTGTCTCTCTTAACACCCATTCAGGAAAGTGACTCCCACTATTTTAGTCACATGGTATTCTTTGCTGTGCCCATTGCCCATTTAATTCCATTCCATTCTGTTATTTGACATATAACATCATACCAGGAACACATTTTAGATCTTATATTCTCTACAGCTTTTTCAATAATTTTATATTTTCCAGCAAGTGCATTTTTTTTACAATTATTACACCTCTGGTTGATTGTTCTATTGTTACATTACCCAAGTTTTCTTAATTAAGGTGCCCCATTTTCATTGGGCTCCTATTTGTTTCCATCCCTCTCCGGGTATTCATCATAGTCCATTTCCTTCTGGCACTATTTCATAGTACCCTGTTTCATTTCCCCAGGCACTTGCATATACTACCGGATACACTTCTTGTACCTCTCCATTAGCTATACCAGAAAGGACAAGGGTGCAGTGGCGTATGGTACATGCATGCACTTGCACCTTCCAGGTATTTTGGAACTATTGGTTAATATAGGAGAAATAACTCAGTGCCCAATTAAGTGTGTTTGGCCAATGACCTCTCTGACTTTGTTTCAAGATATTTTTTTCATTGTTCTCCCAAGATTCCCTGGGCTTTTATACACACTTTTTTCTCCAGGACAATTCTGAACTGATATTTTTTATTTGCTTAACAATTTTTTAAAACACTTTTCCCCAGGAGTTCACTTAGTTCCAATACAGAGTATCCCATTTTTTAATCCATTTTTTCCCTTGCTCCCCAGTGTGTGCTGATTGTACTTTTGTACAGCACTTTTGCAGGGATTGGTTCCAAGTAGCTTTTCACAGTAAGGTTTACTTTGGCTGGGACTTTGATAGAATCTGTACCATTATCTACACCAATACTGGAATTTAGACTTTTTGAAAACTCTTTTGGAACTTTCCCCTCCCTTGGAGAGTTAATCCTGGAGGCTACATTCAGGTTTGGGACTTTTTTCTTCTATTTCTTTGGTCTGTTAAGGGTTTAAACAGGGTAATAGAGTACTTTTATTGGTAGGTTTGTTTTATTTTTCTATGCACCTGGTTCAATAACTACTAATTTACATTTTTTTAAAAGGACATTAAAAGCAGGAAGCTTGCTAAATAATCTGTGAGGCCACTGGGTGATCAGAGTTAATCTGAGGAACTGTCCCTGATTAAGATGTCATTAAAGGAGGTTTTGGAACAAATACATGGTCAGTCTTTAGAATAGAGAGAGGTAAATAGTGGTGTTCTGGGGTCTGTACTGGGACCAGTACTGTTAAACATATTTATAAATGATCTGGAAAAAAGGGGCAAATAGTGAGATGGCAATATTTGCAGATGATAAAAAACTACTCAAGGTAGCTAAGTTTAAAACAGACTGCAAAAAGTTACAAAGGGATTTTACAAAACTGGATGACTGGGCAAGAAAATGGCAGATGAAAATCAAGGTTGAGACATGCAAAATAAAACACATTGGAAAACATAATCCAGTTATACAAAATAATGGGGTTCAAATCAGTTGCCACCATCCAAGAAAGAAATCTTGGAATCATTGTGGATAGTTTTCTGAAAACATCCACCCAATGTGCAACAGCCATCAAAAAGCTAACAGAATGTTGGGAATCATTAGGAAAGTATTTCCTGTTTTATTATCTATCCCCTTTCTATCTTCATATAAATCCATGGTATTCCCACATCTCAATAAAATGTATTGGAATCGGAAAAGGCACAGGAAAAAAACCAAAAATGATCAGGGTCTGGAACAACTTCACATGAGAAAAGATTAATGAGGTTGGGACTTTTCAGCTTGGAAAAGAGATGACGAAGGAGGGAATATGATAGAGGTCCATAAAATCATGACTAGTATCGAGAAAGTAAATAGGAACATGTTATTTACTTTTTCGTATAACACAAGAGCTAGGAATACTAAATAAAATTAATACACAGCAGATTTAAAATAAAAGGAAATATTTTCTTCACAGTTAACCTGTGGTTCTTCTTGCTGAAGGACATTGTAAAGGCCAAGACTGTAACAATTTTTTTTTTAAAAAAAGAAAGAATCAAATAAATTAATGGAGGATTAATGGAGGATAGGTTCACAGGACGGCTGGAGGAGCGGCTAGTCAGGGGTGAAAGTAATTTACAGGATTTACCGGTACTGCTGGAGTCCTGAGGGGGGCGTGGCCTCATCCAAAAGAGGTGGGGCCTCAAGATTTAAAGGCCCTGGGGCACCAGCTGTGTCTGGGAGCCCCAGGGCCTTTAAATCAACCCGGGGCTCCCAGATGCAGAGGTGGCTGGGTGCCCCCGGGGCTCACGGGCAAATTAAAGGGCCCGGGCCTTGCTGGGCTGGGGCTGGGATTTAAAGGGCCCGGAGCTCCTGCCACTGCGGGGAGCCCTGAGCCCTTTAAATCCGTCCCCAGCCCAGCAGCCGGAGCTGCGGGTGGGATTTAAAGTGCTCTGGGCTGTCCTCAGACGTAGGGAGCTCTGAGCCCTTTAAATCCCAGCCCCAGCCCAGCTGCTGGAGCTGTGGGCGGGATTCAAAGGGCTCTGGGCTGCCTGCAGCGGCGGGGAGCTCTGAGCCCTTTAAATCCCGGCCCCAGCCCAGCCGACCCCAAAGCCCTTTAAATCCCCGCCACGGAAGCCGGTGCGGTCTAGCATGGTGTACTGGCTCTTGCCGGTACGCCGTACCGGCTGACTTTCACCTCTGCGGCTAGTGGTGAAGGCTGCAGCAGAACCCCATGGAGAGGTGGGGCAGTTGGCCTCAGACCACGTAAGGTGCCCCTTAATACCATCAATTTCCACCCAGCCTAGGGCGGGTAAGACTCTGCAGATAAACTTTTGAACTCTGGGGCTGCACTGACCAGGGACAGAGACTTTTGGGTTGTTGAACTTTTGGGACTTTGGGGGTGGGTCTTTTGCTCATGGTTTGTGTTATGAATCCTGTTTGTGGTGTTTTCCCAATTTAATGCTGGTGTTGTTTACCTCATGTTATTAAACATTTTCTGCTACACTCAGACTCCGTGCTTGCGAGAGGGTAAGTATGGCCTCTTAGAGGCGCCCAGGTCACTGGGTGGGGGCTCGAGCCGGTTTTGCATTGCATTATTGAAACGGAAGCCTAGATACTGAACCCGGCCCTTGTTGCTGCCAACTCAGATGGGCAGAAGGGTTACACATAAATTTATAGGTTAACCCGCAAACAAAGAGCAAAGGCCTCTAACCAGGCCTCATCGGTTAGTACATACTGTGCATTTATTTCTTAGAATTGTCTCACTGGGGAGTGATGAGCCCTTTGTGTGCAAGGGGTGGTTGGGTCAGTGTCTAGGTGCAGAGACGCTGTTGACGTCACTAGGCATCACCCTAGGTAACTCAGGAGGGTGGAAGGCCACTAAGTGTCAATGAAGCCTTCCTGCACTAGGCCTAAGTGAACCAAACTCTATCCTTCCATGTTTAAA